ACACGTAATAAGCAACATTTGTTTGGGGCTATCATTAGTCTGTGCTCAGTAAATACTGACACAGTAAAGCACTTATGGGGAGCTTGGGATGTGATACCGAAAAAGAAACATAGTACAATCACGTATAGCACACTTCGCTCTATGTCCCTAGCCTCCAGCACAAGGAACAACAAGACAGATGTTGTTCTAGCCACTATTCTGTTGTTGTGAAGAGACCTCATGACCATGGCAACTGGTAAAAAGAAAGCATTTCATTGGAGGCTTGCTTACCGTTCCAGAGGGCAGTCCATTATCATCATGGTGGAGAGCATTGCAGAACACTTGGTGCTGGAGCAGTAACTGAGAACTTTATCTCTTGATCGCCAGGAAGAGGGCAGAGAGATTGGGACTGGCATGGGCTTTTGAAACCTCAAAACCCACCCCCTGACATCACACTTCCTCCAACAAGGCCACACCTCCGAATCCTTTTCCAATAGTGCTACTCCATAATGACTAAACATTCAAATATATGAGTCTGTGAAGGCCATTCTTTTTTTTTTTTTTTTAAAGATTTGTTTATTTATTATGTACACAGAAGAGGGCACCAGATCTCATTACAGATGGTTGTGAGCCACCACGTGGTTGTCAGGAATTGAACTCAGGACCTCTGGAAGAGCAGCCAGTGCTCTTAACCTCTAAGCCATCTCTCCAGCCCTGAAGGTCATTCTTATTCAAACCACCACAGATGCTCAAGATGCAAAGGCATACTTGTGCAATGGTCTCTGATGAGGCTCAGAAAGGTACCATGATTCTCTCAGGACCACACAGTGAATGTGCGAGCATATGACAAGCCACGAAGCCGATGGCCTAGCAAAGGATGACTCCCTAAGGAGATGCCACTGGCAAACACTGCCCTCCACAGGATTGGAGCTAAACAGGGATGGAGCATAAGAGCGGCTGTGCCGTGGACCCCTTCCTCCTCATCCCAATCCCAATCCCATCCAAGGTCAGGGCAGCTAATCCTTAGTCTGGGGTGGAGACTCAAAGAAGAAAGGACACGGAGAAAGAGGGAGAGGGAGTGAGATTAGCGCAATCTTGTGGCAGTAGGAAGGACTTCCCAGGAAGTGTCAGTGAGAGGTGAAGCTGAGGCCAAGGCCTTGCGGAGATCGGAGGCCCTGCGAGGATCTCAGGATCGGTAGGTTTTCTTGTTTGGAGACAGGGTCTTGCTATGTAGCCCAGATTGGAGATTCTCCTGCTTTAGCCTTCCTTGTTGATAGGCACCTCTAAGATGTAGGGCTTCTTGTTGTTTTTTAAGATAGGGTCTCATGAAGCCCAGGCTGGCCTAGAACTAGGTATAAAGCTAAGGGTGCCCTTGTACTTTTGATCCTCTGCCTTCACCCCTGGAATGCTGGGATTACAGGCATGTGCTATCATGCTGGGTTTATAAGGTACCGGGGTAGAACCCACGGCTTGTGTGTGTTCCGTGGAAGTCTTCTAACACTGAAAGCTACACCCTCTGGCCAGATGTTGGTTTTCTGTATGGTTGGGTTAGGGGCATTTGGAGGGAGAGAGACCCAGAGGAGGGTCTGAAGATACAGTGAGACGACAGACGCTCATGGGAAGACCTGTTTCCTGTGAGAGGAGTCAGGCCTGAGGAATGATGGGAGTGTGGCTGAGGAGTCTGAGCAATCCCAAGATGCCCAAGGAGATTCACATGTAGAGCCTCTCAGAAGGGAGAAAAGGGAACTCAGGAAAGAACAAACGGTTGGGATCTGAGTAGGACTACAAGTCTGCAGAGCCAGCCTCTGGGGTCGGAGGGACCCCCACCTCCCCTCTCCCCAGTATCACCTCCTCCCATCCCACTCCACCCCCCCACCCCCACTCCCGCCCCGGGATTGCGGCGCAGGCGCGAAGGAAACTTGCTCTGCTCTGCTCCAGCTCTGACAGCTTCTGCTGGCTCCGGAGACCCAGACCCAGAGGTGAGCTCAGTCCCTGCTCCCTGCGGCTCGACCCCTGCCCGGCTGGCTCCCCTGCTCCTAGGAGAGCCGCCCCCCACTCCTCTAGCATCCTCGATATGATTGTGTCCGGCCAGAGGTGGGACGTCTGCTCGCTCCCTATGCTCTGGCTTGGGGGAGCAGAGATGATAGAGAGGCCCCTGGCGCTGTGGGCCTTGACACCCCAGGGTTCGTAGGCTGGGCAGAGACTTCAGAGGACGAGTTCACCCGCCCCTCTCTAACAACCCATTCCCATCCCGCCATGCCTCAGCTTCCCTCTTTGGAAAGTACGCAGTTTATTTCGCCCCAAAGGGTGGTCAGGCCAGGGAGTAGAGCTGGTGTTCCTGATTCCCCTAGCCACCTCCCCAGGAGGGCTTTCTTTCCAGCTGCGCAGGGGTGGGTGTGCCCGAGGACAGATTCAGTGCGTCGTGCCGCCCACAGGCTTGTCTCCTCCGAGACGGGTCTCCGCCGCCGATGCAGAGCTCCTTGCCCCGACCCACGCAGCCTCTTCCTCTCCCCCACTCGCCTCTCATCAAGTCTCTCCCTTTGCAGGTTAGGAACACACTCCTGGATGTTTCCATGGCAACCCCCGGGCTCTTCAGCATCCTGTCGCTTCCTGTCCTCTCCCCCCACCCCCCCACCCCCACCCTAAGATGGGAGGAGGAGGGGCCAGGCAGAGGGGAGGCTCAGTCAAGGTCACCTTCCTTCTCCAGCATCAGCAGCATGAACCAGTCCTTTGCATTTGGAGGCCGGGCGAGCGTGGATTATTATGGGGGAGGAACTGACTCTGGCCCTTTGTGCTGTGTCCCTCCCCTCCCCTTCCGGGCCTCTACTTCACGCTCTGGTTATGGAGTCTCCTACGGCTGTCAGCCCCATTCATTTTCCTCACCAGCGTCCCCATGCCTCCGCCCCCACCTCCTTGACTCCCTACAGTCGGGCTGTCCGGCCTTCATCTTTAGGTCACTGCTATGCCTCGGCTTCTACCATTTCTCATCTCTGGTTTTGTTTGTTTTTTATTCCTTCCTTTCCTTGAATGGTGGGGAGAGTGGAGAGCCGCGCGACCCAATCAGCATTCCTATGCACATGTGTGCCTCTTTGGAGTCTCCAGAAGCACCACCACTGTGTGTGTGTGTGTGTGTGTGTGTGTGTGTGTGTGTGTGTGTGTGTGTGTGTGAAGGGATCCTGGGGTCACGCTGATTGGGAGTGAAAAGGGTCCTGGATCACCTTCCTCTTCAGAACAAGTGCACTGCCTCATTTTGTTTGAAGCTGGGGGGGGGGGGGGTGTAGATGGGAGAAGAGGCGACAGGAAGTCCAGGCCTGCGTGGCACCTCGACAGACACAGGTCCCCTCTATCCCCAAGATCCCAGAGTTTCCTTTTGTGGGTTCCTAAATGGTCTTTCCTGGAAATCTGGCAGTCAAAATGACTGAGAGGCCTTAATCCTGAGGGCCCCTGAGTTTCACTTTCTGTGGACTCACTATCCTTGGGACTTTGCATGCTGTGAAGGGTTGTCAGCCCTAGGCCTTCAGGACCATGCAGCTTGAGGCCTTCCACCCAACTGGACAAGTACCATCTATGAAAATTGCCCCAGAAAGGGTCCTGAAAGAGACTTAAACTTTGAGAGGGAACATGAAGATCTCTCACTCTGTAAACGTGGGAGCCCCAAAAGCTGAGGAAGGAAATAATCACAGAAAACACAGTAATGGGGGCCGTCAGGAGGGCTCACGGGGTAGAGACACATGCTGCTGCCCAGCTGACGACCGGACTTCAAGCCCCAAGACTTACATGGTAAAAGGGGAACCGACTCCTGCAAGTCTTCCTCTGACCTCTACACGTGTTCACATGCGCGTACCTGTACATCACACACTCACACCAAATACATTTTCAGAAGAAAACACCAAAACCATCACAGCAGCCCCTTGGATGAAGCAGTTTTCGTTATTAACCCTGTTGTACGGTCGAGGAAGGCCTGAGAGGTCAGTGCACGTCTAAAGTCACATCCAGAAAGCGTGGGTCTGGGACTCAGTCCAACAGTGAGGTTCCAGAGCCACATTCCAGCTGCTGGATGGTCTGCGGAGAAGACAGGCAGATGGACAGACGGCTGCCAGCCATAAGGCTGAAAACCACTGGCACATGCACAAAGGACTTAGGGAAAGGCGGGATGGCTGAGAGGCTAGGTGGACTGTAAGGAGGTATCCAGTGATAGACAGGGTGAGAGGGTTACCGTGGCAACTCCTGCTGATCTCCCTCTGTCACTGTCCCTTGCGCCCACAGGGATCCATGATGAGCTGCAGTCGCTCCTGTATCTGTGGCCACAGCACCAACGTGGAGGAAAGTACGTGGTATGGGGTCGATCCCTACCCTAATCTCTTCTACAGTGAGTGCGTGGGTAGCAATCTCAGCGATAACCCAGAAGGACCCCTGGTCCAGTATACCTACCAACCGTGGCCCTCCCTGTGCTGGAAGGTAAGACCAAAGGAATGATTCCTGTGGCTCTGGGGAAAATGAGGCACTAGAAAGAGGAGCATGGATAGACGAGGGATGATGGGGTGGTCAGGAGTCACGTGTCCACACGACAGAAACTACAGTGTAAATCGGTTCCAACAACGAAGTTCATTTTCTAGAAGAGACCAGAGGTTGGATGCCTTCTGGCAAAGCTGGATCCAGCGAAGGACTGAGGAGTTTACCAGCTTTTTCTTAGTCCTCAAGCTCACACAGCCCATCAGCTCCACACTCTTCCGTGGTGCTCCTCAAATGCCGGCTACAGTGCTGACTCTTGGACTTTTTTTTTTTTTTTTTAAATTTAAAACATTGTTATCAGGGGCTGGAGAGATGGCTCAGCAGTTAAGAGCACTGGCTGTTCTTACAGAGGACCCACATGGTGGCTCACCACCATCTGTTAACTCCAGTTGCAGGGAATCCAGTGCCCTCTGACCTCCGCAGGCACCAGGCACATGTGTGGTACACAGACATATATTCAAGTACATACTCATACACATAAAATAAATACATCTAAAAATTTTTACAGAGCATTATCAAGTGAGTGTGTGTGGTATGGGTATGTGTGTGTGTGTGTGTGTGTGTGTGTATCTGTGTGTGTTTTCCTTTGTATGTAAATGCAGGTGTACATGTGGAAATAAGAGGACGACTTTCCAGAGTCAGCTTATTCCGCATTTTCTTGTGGGTTCCAGGCCTCAGTGGCTCGGATCATCAATGAAGCCCTAGGTTTGATCCCCAGTACTACATAAACTGGGTGTAGTGATGCACAACTGTGATCCTAGCCCTAGGAAGGTAGAAGCAGGGGGACTACAGTTTCAGGGCCATACTTGGCTATATAACAAATTTGAGGCAGCCTGAGCTACATCTGTCTAGAAAGAAGACCAACCTAAAATAGCCAGAGATCAACTGAAGGCCACCCTGGGATGCATAATAAACTGGCCCACACCTTGGGAGGCTGAGGGAGAAGGGTCATAAGTTCAAGGCCAGCCTGAGATAGAAATAGTGTGTTATAGGCCAGCCTGGGCAACCGAGTGAGACCCTGGCTTGAAATACATAGATTAATTAATAAGTTAATAAAGGAATGAATGAATGAGTGAATGAATGAAGAAGGAAGGAAAGCATTTTGTTCCTAGACGTTTGACTGTTTGGGCCCCTTGCCAGCTCTGCGCTCATTACTATGGCTTTGGAGAGGAAACCCAGTGGCAGGAAGTGGAGTTCATCACACCTACATGTCATCCCACTGTGGTTTCCCACTGTGGGGTACCATTGACAGGCAGCAGAGACATGTGCCAAGCAGACCACCGATGTCCAACAGCCCGAGGTGTCAGTCGGTACCTTCGATGGGTACAGTTCATCACTAAATACTGTAGAGAAACTGAATCAGAGGGTCCCTCCTTCTGCTCCCAAAGGGCTTCCCTCTAACGGGGAGGCGAGGTGCTAACCTGTGGACAGGGACCAGCCCCCGACCTCAGGTCAGGTGTGCAGAGATGCCAGGATGGGTAATGGCCTCGGTACCCGGGATGACCAGAGAAGACTCTTCCTGAACCAAGTGTTTCAGGAAGAACTTAAGTCAGCAGAGGCAGGAACGCATGTGTGTGAAGTTGTGTGTGTGTGTGTGTGTGATGAGGGATTGCACTTAAACATTTAAACATCCTGGACAAACTCCCAACATTCTACCACTGAGCTATTCCACGAGCCCTTGTTTTACTTTTTATTTTCAGGCAGGGTCCCACTAAGCTAGCCTTGAACTCACTCTGTAGCCCAGGCTGGCCTCATACTCACCATCCTCCTGCCTCAGTCTCCTGATAGCTGAGATTACAAGCCTCACCAGACCTCACTAACATCTTATTACTGGTTCTTGAAGACACAGAATTGAAGAACTCTTTCTTTTTAAATTTTTATTTATTTATTTCTTGTTGTATGTATGTGCAAGATGTGTGTGTGTGAATGATGTGCGTACATGAGCGTGTGTGCCAGGGTCAGAGGACAACTCTGTGGAGTCTGTTCTCCTCTTCGACCTTTACCTGGCTCCCTGGGATAGAACTCAGGTTGTCAGGCTCGCAAGGCTTGTACAGCAAGTGCCTTGACCTGCTGAGCATCTTGTTGGCCCTCCGTTTTTTAAATGTGTGCATGTTTGTGTGTGTGCATGTTGGTGTGTGTGCACGCATGTGGAGGTAAGTATTATGTCTTCTACTGTTCTTCCCACCTTGTCTTTTGAGTCAGAGTCTCTTGCTGAATTTGGCATTCAGCTAACTGGCTAGACCAGCTCTGGGGATCTTCCTGTCTCCACCCTTGCGGCAGCAGGGTTACAGGTATATGCCTTCAAGCCTGGCTTTTTTTTTTCCCCAAAGACAGGGTTTTATTGTGTATCCCTGGCTGGTCTAGGACTCACAGAGGTCGGCCAGCCTCTGGGATTACAGGCATGTTCTACCACACCCCGCCCCGAGCCTGGCTTTTTTATACGGGTTCTGAGAATCCAAACTCAGGCACTTGTGTTTAAATGGAAGGCACTGAACCAACCGAGCCGTCATCTCCCCACCTCCCAGTTTAAGAACTCTCGTGTGTGGTCCACTTAGTTGTTCAAGTAGCACTTAGTACTATGGTGAGTGTAAGACACCTAGCGAGCTAAGACACGCCCGACCTTTGCTCTCAGAAGGCGCAGCTCAGGAAAACAGGCAGACGTCGCTCATCTAAGAACTAAATCCCATGTCCAAATGTGTTCAGAAGTGGGTTCATGGAAGGACTAGTTGGCACTGGGCTGTAGAAAGAGAAAGACACCTACCCAAGCTGCAAGTGTCCTGGAAGGCATCTCAGAGGAGGAATAAGGTTTGAGATGAGACTTGAGGATACATGAGCATCAACCTGGAGGGTGGAAGGGATCATGGGGTGAGATCATGGGGTGCCCAAATAGGGAAAGCAAATAGAGCTGGGGATATAGCTCAGTCAGTACCGTGCTTGCCCTGCCAGCACTTGAGAACCCATCTGCCAATGCCAGGTGGAGTTGGGTATGGCAGTGCACGCCTTTAATCCCAGCACTTAAGAGGCAGGTGGAAGTTTGTGAGTTTGAGGCCAGCCTGGTCTGTAGAGCAAGGTCCAGGACAACCAGAGCTACATAGAGAGATCATGTCTCAAAAATAAATAAATATTTAAAAAATTATTCTAATCCTATTGCTGGAGAGAAAGAGACAGGAGGATCTCTGGGGTTTGCAGGTCAACAAGCCTAGCCTAATTAACCAGTTCCAGGTCCTGGTGAGAGACTCTATTTCAAAAAATCAGCAACTCCTAAGAAACAACGCCAGAGGGTGACTCCTTACCGTTACGTGTACTGTCACACACACACACACAATACACACACACACACACACACACACAGAGAGAGAGAGAGAGAGAGAGAGAGA